TTGGTCTCACATGATCTCAAGTATATATATATATATATATATATATATATATATATATATATGTATCTTGTAAACTTAGTCGACTAAAACCATGTACATATATATAGAGATAGAGGTGAGTAAGTAGGTAGACATATTTTGGAGTAAATGATGGTGAGAAGACATTGGTCCCCTCATCTCTCTCTCTCCACTTACACTATTGCCTTTTTTTTTCTTTAGTATGTATATGTATATGTATATGTACTACAACCAAGTGATTCTCAAACCACCACCATAGGCGATGACTTCTTTTTCTCCTTCTATCTATAGTTTTTTTTTTCATTAGATGAATCATTTGTCGTACAAACATGTAGGGTTGATGTTGATTTTGGTATAGTCTTGGTTTTTGTTAGGGGTTTTTTATTTTGATTTTAGGCTAGGGTTCATGATTTCATGCATGTTAGGTTTTTTATATTAATTTTTGGGTAAGAGTTCTTTTTCATTACCCATTTCTTCGATTTCAATTAGAGTGCAACAAGTGTTTACTATTAATGGGTTTTAAAGTGTTCACAATGTGTTCATAAAGTGTTTACAATGTGTTCATAGTGTTTATTGAAGTTTTATGTGGTTCCCATTTCCTTTAAATCGTACACAATGGTTCACACAATGTGCAATCATATGGTGTTTGGTCGAGCAATTGAAACTTTTCATTTATGTGCACTTTTATTGGGTGTTTGGGATTGATTATAAAAACAACTTATTGACTTATTCCGGTGTGACATCGGTAATAAACATTTTTTAGTATTTGGATAAACAACTTATACTAGTGTCAAACCGGTATAAAGAATTTTTGAAGAAGTTATAACATTTTAATTTATAATAAGTTGATAAGCACTTTTATAGAAAAATATAAGTTATTTCAAATAAGCAATTCCAAACAACCCCTTAGGTGTCCAGGTGTTCCCCCACCTAGATTTCATAATATGTTCACAACGTATCAATAGAGACTTAAAATGCTTAAAATGTGTAATGTGTTCGCAAAGTTACTCGATCACAAAATAACACCCATATAATAGGAGCAAATTTGAACCGCAAAGTAAATACATAAATGGTACTTAAATAAATAAAATCACCCAAATTATGGGGAAAATGTAAGCATTTACAATAATAAGAATGGTAGCTAACAACCTAATAATCTAAACCAAACTAGGTAAAAGATTAATATTGGGTGTCGCTACGATAGACCAAAAGATTTCTAATCAATGTGTGACGCTATGTATCTCCAAAAGTGACATCCTACAAATGTCTAACGGCAACCATTACTCTGCTATACCTTGGGATCCCCACTGCTATTGGTCCTGGTATACATGTCACTTAAGAAAAAGTCTTAGGTTTAACGTCTGGTGAGAACAAGCATTATATTTACCCTTGGAAGGGTGAAAAATATTATAAGATGACGAAAGAGACTCAATTTACCATTAACAGTGACATAACACAAAAGTAAGTCACATTCAAAAGTTATAGAGCTTCTATTATGGTATATTGGTCATCGAGTTCAGCCACCCACGGTCTATAATTCAGTTCCCCCAATGACTAAGATATGCTCTATCGTTAGAAATAGATTGTTACATGTCACATGGTCATCAACCTCAACCACCCACGGTCTATAGTCCGAGTCCCCCAATGATATAATTTTCGTATTTAGTCATGGCGTGGGAATAATTATCCCATATTATCATAGTAAGTCTTCTTATATGTTTATAGATCTATTACATTCTATTATTTCGGTCTGAATAAATGTCTTTCTTGCGGTCCAAAAAAAAAAAAAAAACATTCTAATCTAAGGTATGTAACCTTTCAAATACGTCATCTAGTACCCAACAACCAACCTAGGTGCACTTGGCCCAATGACTTTGGAGGCTTGATCAAATAAAATTTTTAGTATAAAATAACATGTGATATAGGTGTTATTGTGTTATTTTACTTTGACCCTCTTAATCTATTGTTTGAACCACCTTCCCCAGTTCCCTATATATAGTGTTGGATTCCGATGAGAAAGAGAGTTACATGTGAAAAGCATAAGAAATGATCTTCATCTTTTGATGCACATTAGGATGGGATGCACCGGATTAATCTTCATCAAACGTGATTCATGGGTAGGTTTAAGATTAAATGCGATCAAGGGTTCAGATCTCTTATTAACTCGCATTCTCACACGAGTCTTTACCCCCCCCCTCTGTGTGTGTATATATATGTGTGTGTATATATATATATATATATATATATATATATATATATATATATATAAGGCTAAATAATCTTTAGTAAAGAAAAAACTTAGATGAACGTTGAAGTGAAATCATGTGTAGGAAAAGGGTCACCTTTTATAATTCTCACAATAGCCGGCTACTCGCTAGAATTTTGTTTTGTCACATTTCTTATTTAACCCTTTTCTTCACATTTCATCTTCAATCATTCTCCACCCTTAATTTGTTTCTACCATTATACAGTGGTTGCTGATCTTGTCATTTAATTTTGTCAACAGCCACCGATTCAACCTAGCACCATTATCGCCGACACGGTCTTGTGGATGTGGAGCTCTAATCCATTGACGACAAACTCTCAAGAGGAAGATGATGATTCATGGGAGGTGAAAGCCTTTGTGAAAGACACAGGAAATATCATGGGAACCACTTGGCCGCCACGGTCATACACTTGCACATTTTGCAGAAGAGAATTCCAGTCAGCTCAGGCTCTAGGTGGTCACATGAATGTGCACCGCCGCGATAGGGCTCGGATCCACCAATCCCAGCCTAACTTGAGAATCCCTAATTTATCTTCTTCCACTCTCTTGATTCCGACTCAAGAACGTGTTGCAAATGGTGGTCTATGCCTTTTCTGCTCTTTGCCTAACAACCCTATTGCAATTTTAAACCCTTCATCTTTGAATAAGGTTAAAGGTAATACTTTCTCTCTTCTTTCCAATTCGCCTCATCCCCAATAAAGATTAACTTCATGAATTATTCAGCAGTCGTGGCTCCTCGTTGCTTCAATTCTTCGCTCATCGAAGCTTCAACGTCAACGAATCATGAAAACAACCAAAGATTTGTTCTTGACAACAAGAGAAAGAAGACCGATTCATCAATTGAAGGTATCGATCTAGAGCTTCGTCTAGGATGCAACTCATAAGTTTCTTGAAACATGTACAGGTGTTTTTGTGTGCTTGATTGTGTGTTTCTTTCCTTCTTCTTTTTTTTGTTTAGAAGCTTGAATCTTTTTCGTTTTTCATCTGAAAAAAAGATTTGATTTTTCTGTTTGTTGTTTGTTATCATCGAAGGATATTGTATATGGAAAGAAGTAGAGGGATCCAATTTTAATTGAATAATTAAGGATAATTCGAGGTAAATAAAATGATCATAAATAAGCTTATAGCGATGGAGTATTGCTTTCTTGTGCATAATCATTTTATGGAGAAATCTGTCACGAATTGAATAATTTGTTATGCATTTTTGCTCATTGTAATTACTTTGTATAATAATTAAAATAAAATAGAAATCATAACAATATTAGTAATGATAATAGCTTTTATCAACTTGTAAGAATCATTCTGAATGTTCTGTAGGTTCCTAATTTCCTCCTTTCCTAATTTGTTAGTAATTAGTTAATAAAACGCAGCTGTTTTACTAGCTAGAGATGTAAATTAAATATCGTTTCACTCTATAATTCGGCTTTTTGGTTGGTTTTCATTAATTTATGTATGAATAAAGTTATATATATATATATATATATATATTAAGAAAGTTTTTGTTTGAGAGAGTATTTTCATAAATGGAAGGAGCGTGCTTATTTAATTAAGAAGGACAAGTTTGAAAGAAAAAACCTTGGGTTTCTACATACAACTCTCTCTAGAAACTTACTGACTAAGTTTATGTATCATTAAGTTATCATTGGACAATCAATCTATAACTGACAATATAAATTATAAGTATCATTAAGCTCATTAAAACTGTTAATAAACAGACACTTAGGTGGCCTTTGTTTTTTAAAGAGGTGCTTAAGTCTGAAGTCTGAATTCACTTCTGAATTTTAAGAGGTAGTGCTGAAGTCTGAAATCTGAATCAGTCAGACTGTTTGTTTTTACGTCTGAAATCTGAAATCTGAATCATTGAAATCTAGGCTTTCTTTGCAAGCATTGGAAGCTCTAAAAGCAATTAAGAGGTTTTAAGTGAAAATGTTACCTCTAAATAATTCAGACATAATCAGAGCTTTTAAGCTCTTAATTGAAAAAAAAAAAACAAACACACTTAATACCCTAAGGTCTGACCGATTCAGACATAAGAAGGTATTAAGTGATTTTTAGGTAAAAACAAACAAGGCCTTAGTATATTTAAAAATATGGTTATATGACCCAAAAGACCCATTTTTTTGGTAAATAAGTTCATAAAGCTTCTACTGAAGTGCCTTTATTCCTAGCCAATAATTATACTCTCTTTATCTTGTAATTATCCGACTACTTATGTGAATATAAATAGTTAGAGTTGTTATTCTCATTTGCGAATCTTGAATTAATATTTCTTTTATCCTTCCCAATTTATATATAGAAAAAGAGGTTAAGAAGAAAACCTAAAAAAATAAAAATTGAGGAACACTTTGAAACCATTAATCTGGACGTTATGTACATATATATTTTTGATTGTATGTACATGTGCATACCGAAAAAATTGCTTACAATTAATTGTATGTACATGTGCATACCCTATAAATAAACGATTACCAGTGTGTTCCTAATTCTTCATTTTTTTGATGTTTTCTCTTGAACCTGAACCTGAACCTAAACCTGATTATATATATATATATATATATATATATATATATATACACACACAATTTGTATAAATGGTTGGGTTTGTATTTGATAAATGACTAATCAAATGCAACCTTCTTAAATGTTGCAACCAATGCAACTTTATCTGCGCCATACAATTAAACAATTAACAGTTGGGGATAAGGCGATTGCGGTTGAAGATAAGACGATTACATATTTAAAAAATAAAAACACCCCTAAAAATGAAGAATTATCTAAAGTTAAAATTAAATTTAATTGGCTTACATTGGTTGAAACATTTAAAAAGTTTCAATATTATATATATATAGAGGGGGGGTATATTTTATTGTAGAGTTTTGTAGCGGATGGATAAGATGGGTGAAAATAATTACTTAGTTTGTTGGATTGAATTAAAAACCCAACTTTGATGTCAATAAACAAGAAAACATTGATCCAATTAATTGTTTAGATCTAAAGTGTTAGTATTGATGTGGAATTCTTGAATATATACGACATGAAACATTACCCTTTTAAAAACTAAATTAGATTAAATAAGTATAAATAGATAATTTTGAAACAAAAATTAAAAGGGTACTTTAAGTTGCTACAATTTACGTCTTAAGGGTTGTTTACCAAATTTTCTATTAAGTCATGTATGGATAAATTTGTCTGTCTGGATAAATTTGGGTTGCTGTTTACTTTTCTATCTGAATCAACAATCTGAATCACAGAAATGACCAATTTACCCCTGAGTATTAACTATGGGCTGTTATACAAACCAAGAAATAAGACAAAGAATGTTGCTGCTGTTATACAAACAAGCTGCTGTTATACAAACAAGCCGCTGTTATACCAAGAATGTTATACCAAAAACGAGCAGCAAATATCGAGCATATACTACCAAAAACGAGCAGCAAATATTGACAACAATGGAGGGAATGTCGAGCAGAAATATCGAGTCGTATACTACCAAAATCGAGCAGCAAATAAAGCAAATATTAACAACAATCGATGCATCAAACAAACCCAAAAATATCAAGAATTTACTAGCAAAATAGAGCAGAAATATCGAGCATATACAACCAAAAACGAGCAGCAAATATCGAGCATATTATACCAAAAACGAGCAGCAAATATTGACAACAATGGAGGGCAAAATCGAGCAGAAATCAGAAGAAAAAACGACAGCAAATATCGAGCATATACAGCAGCAAATCAGAAGCAAAAAACGACAGCCAATATCGAGCATATACAGCAGCAAATCAGAAGCAATATCGAGCAAATCAGAAGCAATATCAGCAGCAAAGGAGAAGAGTTACCTTTGGAGAAGAGAGCCTTGATTTGAGGAGAAAGTATTTCGGCCAATTAGGGTTCTTGAGGAGAAGATTGGAGGAGAAGCTTGGAGGAAAAGAGCGACTATGGGAGGAGAAAAAGAGGCGTGGGTTTTATTGGAGGGTAGGGAGGTCCTTTTTTTTTTGGCTTAATGTGGACAAGGCAGGGTATCTGGCTGCGCGATTAAGCCCATGTCTGGGTGAATAAGCCCGAAGTAAACACCCTAAAATGTCTGTGCGAATAAGCTCATTTATCCGGTAAGCTCATTAAGCCACAAGTAAACAGGCCCTTAGTGTCTTGCCAAGAGTGTTTTTTATAAATCTTGTTAAAAAAAGTTGCTACAATTTGCATCAAGTAATTGGTTATTAGCGGCTTGAATATTTGTACAATATATTCAGTCAATTCTCCTTTACCAACAAATATAAGATAAGGGCTCTATGATTTTTACATATTTTGGAAGTTTATTAAACTTTTCAAGGGCACTAAAGTGTTAATCTAAATGGATTTTACATATCTTCATATGGCAATAGAGTCGTGATCTACCATCTCTCGAACTTGATACTCTACAGCACCTTCTTCATTTAATCAGTCTATGTTGAAGGGAATGTGTTGAGTCTTCCATCGTCTAGACACGATCCCTTTAACCTATATATTAGAATATTTCTTCTCTTTTTCAAGTAATCATTTAGAGAAGAATTTGAATAGATTTCACATATCTAGATCACTTATTAATTTGTTGGGGTCCACCAATTTCGGGAGTGGATAATGTGAAGCATCATCTCAGTCTAGATTCCTTTAAAAGGAGCGTGTTAGACACAGACTCTTTAACTTTCTCTCCC